GTTCCCCAAAAACAAGTCTTTTTCCCGAGGTGCAGCCAAGGGAAATTGGCTTGCTCGAGAGGAACTGGAACATGAATCTTGCTGACTCCCTCAATGATATACTTTAACTGTTTTATTATACCGATACTAAAATTAGACTATTTTTAAAATCCATAACTACAATTCTATTTTATACGCAGGGCAATTACATATATAAGGTACAATGAAACTCAGAATGTAGATAAAATAAATAAATTCAATAGAAGGTCTTTAATTGTATATGAATCAGTGGTCTATAAAATACATGTAACTGCAAGCAACATTCTTTAAACAATTTCATTTACACAGTGACAAAGCTGAGTGATCCGTCTTGCTCTTCATGCACATATTTAACCATGCATGTTGACGCCACAATAAGTTCTGCATACTCATTTCCCGTATAAACTAGGCACCGCCTCCATATATGTAACATAGAGCTGCTTTATGAATATTCATTTTATTTGGAACATATCGGTACCTTTCGTAAGATTAAAAGAAATTGCTAGGATTTCCGAATAGTTGTGTATCAGTTCATCAAACTGACGCACCTATTTGCAGGGAATCAGTCTTTCTACGGAGATTTTCAGGGAATCAGCAAAATATATCGATTTTAAAAAAAAAACAGTAGAGGTATAATAAATTGAGATGATATATATTCAAAATATTCAAATGTCAAGCATGAGCATGCAATATATGTGATTGATTGTTATTTTCCCAAAATGCTCTGGAAAATCCAAGTCTATAATACAAAGATTTTGCATAATTAAATGAAGTTTATAGGGCATATGGCACCAAAAGGGAGTGGGGAGTGTTTGGGGAACATCTGTAATGGTGTCCATTACAATTAGAACTAGTTATTAATAATGTTTTTATTAGATTGTATATTTGTGACATGGTGATCTGCAATTTGTTTGCTGATATTTTAAAAAGAGGCACACAGGCCTTTTTGGTCACCTGAGTATCATGTAACAATTTTCCCACAATTGAATTGGGTCTATGTTTTAAACCAGAGACCATGAAATTCACAATTTGGAAGAGGCACCATTGCTTATCATAACTATACACTCAGTTTGATTACTTAATTCCCAGAAGCAAACCAGAGGATTATCAAACAAATAATTTTTTGCATTTTCATTCTATAATCAAAAGAACCCCTACCCCTGGGGCCACACATTTCACAATTTAGGAAGATGCACCCTTGTTCATCATAGCCATGCACTTAGTTTATCTGCTTAATACAAAGGAGCAAAGAAGATTTTCAAAGAATTAATGCATTTTCACTATTTAATCAAGAGCCCCATCCTAACATCAATATATCTCCCAGGGGCCATGAAATTCACAATTTAGGAAGAAGCACCCTTATTCATCATAACCATGCACTTAGTTTATTGGCTTAATACCAAGGAGAAGGGGAGAAGATTTTCAAAGAATTAATACATTTTTACTTTATAATCAATAGAACCCCTGACCCAGGGGCCATAAAATTCACAAAATTGGAAGAGGCACCCTTCCTCATCATAACCTTGCATTTAGTTTGTTTGATTAACACCCAGACTCACTAATTGCATCCTCTGATTCTGGGTATTAGGCAGCTTAATACCCAAGATCAGAGGAGATCTTTTTAAAAAAAAATAATGCACTTTTACTATATATTCAACAGAGCCCCATCCTAGCATAGGAGCCGCTGACCCTGTGGCCATGAATTTCACCATTTTGGTAGATGGTTCATTGCTTATTACAATCATGCCAACAGTTCAACTGCTTGATGTCCAGGAGTAAAGAAGAAGATTTTTTAAAAATTCCATTGATCTTGATGCCTTTAGCACCAACCATCAGGTACCAGGGGGACAGGGATCATGAAATTGACAATTTTTGTTCCTCCTTCACTTACGGATGCTACATGCCCAAACTGGTTGAAATTGGTTGAGCAGTTCCTGAGGAGAATTAAGGAGGCTGGGGGGTCAACAAATCAACCATCAGATATAACTTAATTTTTTAGATATGATATCTTAAGCTGTCAACTATCATTTGGCAAACAAAAATTTCATACATTTTATTTTTAAAATTTGATCATTTTTGTATATCTTTATATGGAGCTCTTCTTCTAAAGGAGATCAATATAGTCTGAAAATGGCCACAACCACCCAGCCCTCTTAAGTGAAAATGTTGAAATGTTAACGCACAATGGATGAAAACAGATAGCAATGTCACCTGAGTGACTCAAATGACCTACAAAAATGAAATAAAAATATCATAATATCAAACCAATCTTGAAAACTTAATTTATACCAAATTAATTTTGAAAATAAAAGGCTGGCCATCAAGTTACACATGCTATTAATTGCAATTAAGAAACATATTTTATTTTTTGGATCGAGGGTTGTGCTGTGCTCATATTTGAATTCTTTGCTGAAGGTACTCAAATATCCCTTTTTTTTGAACAAGAGGCCCAAGGGCCTTAACGGTCACCTGAGTACAATACAACAATTTAGAGGATCCATAGAGTATAAAATGAACTGAAAGGTGAAGCTTTGTTGCCCAAAAGCAAGAAAAATAGGGTGACCAGGATCAACAAAATAATTAGTCTAGTATTCATTAACAGTTCATAAATTAGGTTCTAATCTGTTCCCCTTTTATCACTATCACTATACAGTATATCAACAAACTATCAGTGCTTCTGTACTATTTTAATTCCTTGTTGAAATCTCTTACATTGGCCTCTCTTGGTCTTTGATGAACATTTAATAATACAAGTTGTTTTTGTCTCACTTCTATTTATCTATTACTTACAAGTCTACCTGATCATAAAAACTATGAAAATACTTTTTGTATTATACAATAAAAATTCTTGCATAATTCTCTTATTCTATTAACCTTTCAAGTACATTATTTACAGTGATTAATTATCAAAAGTAAATGGCAAAGGGGAATAACTCCTCTCAGTAGAATACATATTAAAAGAGCCCTGGCCAGGACCAGAACACTTGACCAAATGGTCCAGATGTTCAAAAATCTGGTAAAAATACCCTTCCTTATTAAAACTTTTACTCTTTTTGCCTCTGATATGCCCAGGTGCAGAAAAGATTTTTAAAGAAATAATGCATTTTACTACAGTTTCACTATATTTTCAATAGAGCCCCAACCCTCCCCACCGAGAAACACCAGAGCCTCTCACCCTGGGACCAGAAGTTTGCTCATCATAAGTAATCACTTTGTTTATCTGCTTAAGACTAAGGAGCAGACAGGATTATTTAATAGAATTAATGCATTTTCACTATATTATCAAGAGCCCCCTCCCCCACCCTTACACCAGCACATCTGACCCAGGGGTCATGCAATTCACTACTCTGGAAGAAGCACACTTTCTTATCATAACTATATACTTAGATTCTTTGCTTTTTAACCAGAAGCAGAAAAGAATATTTTCAAAGAAATTTTGCTTTTTCACTATATAATCAATAGAGCCCCCCCCCCCTTTTCACCAGAACCCTTGACCCTGGGGCCATGAAATTCACAATTTTGGAAGAGGCATCCTTGCGTATCATAACAATGTACTTAGTTTGTTTAAATAATACCCAGGGACAGAGAAGAAGATTTTCAAAGAAATAAATCACCTTCACTATAGGATCTATAAAGCCCCGCCCTAGCACCAAAACCCCTGTCCCTGGAGCCATGAATTTCGCAATTCTGGAAGAGGCATCCTTCCTTACTATAACAATGTACTTAGTTTGTTTAAATAATACCAAGGAGCAGAGAAGATTTTCAAAGAAATAATGCATTTTCACTCTATAATAAACAGAGCCCCGCCCTAACATCAGAACCCCTGATCCAGGGGCCATGAAATTCACAATTTTGGTAGAGTCACTCTTGCTTATCATAACTATGTACTATTTAATTTGTTTAAATAATACCCAGGAGTAGACAAGAAGATTTTCAAAGAAATAATGCACTTTCATTATATGATCTATATAGCCCAGCCTTAGCACCAGAACCCCTGACCCTGGGGCTATGAATTTCACAATTTTGGTAGAGTCACCCTTGCTTATCATAACAGTACTATGTATTCAATTTGTTTAAATAATACCCAGGAGTAGAGAAGATGATTTTCAAAGAAATAATGCACTTTCACTATATGATCTATATAGCCCCCCGCACCAGAACCCCTAACCCTGGGGCTAAGAATTTCACAATTTTGGTAGATTCACTCTTGCTCATCATAACTATGTATTCAATTTGTTTAAATAATACCCAGGAGTAGAAAAGAAGATTTTCAAAGAAATAATGCACTTTCACTATATGATCTATATAGCCCCGCCCTAGTACCAGAACCCCTGACCCTGGGGCCATGAATTTCACAATTTTGGTAGAGTCACCCGTGCATATCATAACAGTACTATGTATTCATTTTGTTTCAATAATACCCAGGAGTAGAGAAGAAGATTTTCAAAGAAATAATGCACTTTCACTATATGATAGCCACGTCCTAGCACCAGAACCCCTGACCCTGGGGCCATGAAATTACAATCATGTCAACAGTTTGCCTGCTTGATGTCCAGGAGTAAAGAAGAAGATTTTTAAAGATTGCACTAATTTTGGTGGTTTTAGCCCACCCCTCAGGCCTCAGGGGGGCAGGGACCACGAAATTCACGAATTTTGTTCCCCTTCACCCATAGATGCTATATGCCAAATTTGGTTGAAATTGGTTGAGTGGTTTCAGAGAAGAAGCTGAAAATGTTCAAATGTTAATGCACATCGCACAATGCACATTGCACGACGACAGACGAAAACAGATAGCAATAGGTCACCTGAGTGACTCAGGTGACCTGAAAAGTGACATAGGACAAATAGGAATAAAGACACTATACCCCATACTTTGGTACAACTAGCAAGAAAATAATCAGCATCGGTGGCATATTAAATAAACTTTTTAAGTATGTTTTTTTATACAATGCAGCTCTTTCAACTTAAGAAAAAACAAAATATTACAAGGAATGTCTTTATGAGAATATTAATATGTACAGATTTTTTATGTTTTAAGATCAAAATATAACAAAAGAAAATATAATATGAAACTTATGGTAAAATATTGAGTATACTCTTCTGAGAAATAACATAACTAATGACATATGTTTCACTTCCTCATTTCTAGCTTGACATGATATATGTTAGTGTAATGCATATATACTAAACAGTTGTGCACATTTTATTGTCAGTATTTTCATTACGCTTACAAATTAAAATTTCAGACATGTAATGTTTTCTATGGATGTTTATTAAATTTGTAGAATATTTCTAAGATGTTTTCTTCAGTAAATCAATTTCAGCATTAGTTCTCACTTCATCAAAGGTGTAGTCTTTAAGCAGCTTTCCATTCTCAAATACTGTTACAAAAACATCCTGAAAATAAAAAACAAAAAAAACCCCATAGGTAATCAGAGATTACAGAGCTCACCTCAACGAATGTTGTCTTTAAGTAAGGCAAAGTCCCACACTAAACTAATAATCTAGTAGTGTGCATCCCTAGATGCAACATTTATGCAATTTTGGTCTGATATGGCTTGCTGCTTGGGAATGGACTTATCTAAAAGCTTAAAGCTAGTCACTTATCCAGAAAATGTAAGTCAAATCCAGCATCTGAAGCAAGTTTGAGAGTGTTCGTCCCTTGATGCATCATCCATGCAAGTTTGGTTCAGATAGGCCTTATAGTGACTTGGAAATGAGATCTGCTCCAAAAACTTTAACCTGGTCACTCATCCGGAAAATGTAGGTCAGGTCCAGCATCCGAAGCAAGTCCAGTAGTGTGCATCCTTAGATGTATCATTCATGCAAGTTTGGTCAATATAGGGCTTATAGTTACTTGGAAATGAGATCTGCTCCAAAAACTTTAATCTGGTCACTCATCAATAAAATATAGGTCAGATCCAGCATCTGAAGCAAGTTCAATGGTGTGCATCCTTAGGTGTATCATAAATGCAAGTTTGGTCAATATAGGGCTTATAGGTACTTGGAAATGAGATCTGCTCCAAAAACTTTAACTTGGTCACTCATCCGGAAAATATAGGTCAAATCCAGCATCTGAAGGAAGTCCAGAAGTGTGCATCCTTAGGTGTATCATCCATGCAAGTCTGGTCAATATAGGGCTTATAGTTACTTGGAAATGAGATCTGCTCCAAAAACTATAACCTGGTCACTCATCCAAAAAATGTAGGTCAAATCCAGCATCTGAAGCAAGTTCAGTAGTGTGCATCCTTAGATGTATCATCCGTGCAAGTTAGGTCAATATAGGGCCTATAGTTACTTGGAAATGAGACCTGCTCCAAAAACTTTAACCTGCACCAAAACCTTTAACCTGCTCCAAAAACATTAACCTGGTCATTCTTTAGCTGAAATTTCAGCATCTGAAACCTTGACTGGTACAATGAAACACACTAGAAGCATCCTCCATGCATCTCTGATTGATATATGGCATAGAAGTACTTGAAAAGAAAACTGCTCCAAAAACTTTAACCTGGGACGCCGACACCAACGGTATTACATAAGCTCCCCCAACTTCGTTGAGGTAAGCTAAAAAACCTGATTGTCCCATTCCCATATTAACATGATAATATTGTTCCCAAATGATGTTCAGGATATCATTCCAAATACATGTATTGTAAGAAGTCAATATAAGAGACCAAAAAATCCTTTCTCTTGCACTTGAAATTAGTTCTAATAAACACAGAACCCATACCACAATGCATTCTCATTAAATAAGAGGCCCATGGTCCACAATGCTCATCTGAGTACCTATGGACCTGTCTTTTTTCATCAGCAGAATTTTTTCCATATATATTCCTGTGTAAAAATTTGATCACATTGTGGCTCTGTTCTACATCCTAGGGGTCCTGATTTAAATAAATTTTAATCTAGACTACAGACCCTAAAACATGCTACTACCCCACCTGCACGCTGCACAAACGGTACACGCTCACTACACGGTTTGCATGAAACGCTACATGGTTTACAATGAAACACTTTGCACGAAAAGCTGCACGGCTTACATGAAAGCTGCACGAAACACATTGTACTCATTCTTCACATGCTTTGTACACAATGCTCGCACACTTTGACCTCGATTTGGATTTTCTATTTGGAATCTCTTGGAACATTATCTAAATAATTAAGGATTAAAAAGATCAATTAAGAATCAAAATCTTTCACAATATGTTGAAATTAAAACTCGCAACCCCAGTACTATATAGACCAATAGAAATACTCAATGGTTCAGTTGTAATTAATTAATAATTGTCATTTCGTATTTAATCAGCTTGTTTTAAGGTGAAATGCCTATCATCGTCTATGTACAAACATTTTTTTCCCCTGCTAGGTCTAAATTACTCACTGCATGAAAATATATGTAAATGTATATATTATAATAATTATAGTTTTCTATATAAAACAAGAGGCCTATGGGCCAAAACGCTCACCTGAATCACTTTGCACTGCTGTTCTGCATCCCCTCAATAAATACATGTATTTCTCTTTATTTTTTATCCCCCTTTGTGGACCTATCCTGTACACAGGGGTCCTGATGTGAACAAAAATGGATCTACACTACCAGAGGATGCTTCCACATTAATTTGATTCATCAGGAATTTGCTCTTGAGGAGTTTTAAAGATTTTCCCAATATAATCCCTATTGTGGCTCCATCCGACCCTAAGGGGCCATAATTTGAACAATTTCAGTCTTCGCCTAATCTTTTTTTCAGTACATGCCCTTTGGGCAGGTTTAACCACTTATTATGCTAGCCCAAACAAATATTTACATGCCCAGAATTTTATCAAGTAATTTTATTCTTATTTGCCTTTTCATGCCAAGGAAATGATCCGAAATCCATTTTTATCGATCTATTGTCTCGCCATTAATATTGTTTTCAACCTGTACACTTTTTGTGTCTCCTTTGCGAAAAAGAGTTCCTTGGAAGTCACGTATTATTTTCAACGTGTACACTTTTTGTGTCTCCTTTGCAAAAATGTTCCTTCGAAATCGCGGTAAAATAAACTATCGTTAAAATTTTATTTGGTGCTCAACTTTAGATGAAAACTCAGACTTTTAAGTACATTTTATGTTATTAGTATTATTTAATTTGATAATACAGAGGCTTAGGCCTCAGAATTTACATGCCCTCCGGGCTTGTAAGTATGCAATTTCCACATGCCCCCTTCCAATTTTACCAGGTCCCGGGCTTCGGACTCCCGGGATTTGTCAAAGACTGCAATTTACAATCTACATCCTACCTCAGGAAGCCTCCATATAAGTTTTCTGGAGAAGAAAATTTTTAAAGATTTTCCCTACGTATTTCAATGCCTAAACTCTGATTCCCTTTTGTGGCCTGCCCTATCCCTGAAGGCCATTAGTTGAACAGTTTAGAATCTACACTATCTCAGGATGCTTCCACATAGGTTTTTAGTTTTTCTGGTCCAGTGGTTCTTGAGAAGATTTTGAAAGATTTTTCTTGTGTATTTCCATGTAAAACTTTAATTCCCTACTGTGGCCCTAACCTAGCTGCAATAATGTAGCCCTCTCCGATTTTTTTTTAATCTGATATTTTCAGGAGAGGGCTACAATTCCACTGCATCTCCGTAATGGTGCAAATACATTTTTTAGATACGGGCGACTGCAGGCAAAATAAATTGTTTTTGCATTCAACTTACTTCCAATAAGATGGAATTTTTATTCACTATCAACATCATACCCCTTTATACGCGAAAACCAAGTAAAATAAATCTCCGTGTTTTCCAGTCATTCTCCTCAGCAGCCATGACAGTTCTCGCGTGATGTAATGAGACTTGCACTTGAAATTTAAAATCACTTGATAATGTAAATGTCGGTGTTGATAAATGTTTGTGTTGTATGATATCACCAAATATCGATAAATAAAATCATTCCATGTGATATTTTTTTCATATACAGTGATATTTATGCTTATAATAAGGGAAATCCATACAGATCCGCTCCCCTAGATCCCGAATTCTCATTGGTTGTCCCAAAATAAAATCGATCAAGGTCAGTAAACATGGCGGATAAATTCAAGTTGTGATGGTGACATAAAAAAAAAATAACCGATATACAGATTGTTCTGTATATTTTTGGATCAATTCATGTCCTGCATAACTACATTTTATGAGTTCAGGTAAGATATGTTAATAAAATACCCCCTTACTGATAATTTGAGCCGAAATCTGTGCGGTAGTGAATCACTCCCGCACTTGCACCATTACGGAGATCCTAAGGAGTTGTAGCCCTCTCCCCCCCCCCCCCCCACCCCCCCCAAAAAAAAAAAAAAAATCGGAGAGGGCTACATTATTGCAGCTAGCCCTAACCTACCCCTGGGGCATGACTAGAACAATTTAGAATCTACACTACCCCAGAAAGCTTTAACATTAGTTTCAGCTTTTCTGGTCAAGTGCTTCTAGAGAATTTTTTTTTTTTAAAGATTCTTCCTTTGTATTTTAATGTAAAACTTTGATTCCCTATTGTGGCCCCAACCTACACCCAGAGGCCAGGATTTGAACAATTTACAATCTACACTACCTCAGGAAGCTTCCATATATGTTTCATGTTTTCTGGTCCAGTGGTTCTTGAGAAAAGTACTATAAACCAACTATTATTCGCGTCAACTTTCATTCGCGATTTGTCACTTTGAAATCAATCCGCGACAATTAATTTTCATGACTGAGGAAACATTCTCTACAAATACAAAAAGCAAAATAAATGGTTTTCGGCGATTAATATTTGCGAGTTAAAGTAGGTTGTGAAACTTGCGAATATTTTTTGCACATGAATAAAAGTTGGTTCACAGTATTTTAAAAGATTTTCCATATATATATTTCAATGTAAAAATTTGATTCCCTATTGTGGCCCCATCTTACCCCCAAGGGCTATGAGTTGAACAATTTAGAATCTACATTACCGTATTTGGCTGAATACGCACTTTTTTCCTAGAAAATGTTTTTGTGAGAGAGGGGTGCGTATTTTACACCACAATAGGATTTTGATAGTTTTTTTCTTTCAGGTGAAACACTGCTATCATACGGACATATCGTAGTATTACCTAGAGACATGGGCAATTTCTTGTTGTTTATTGCTGTATTTAAAACTTCAGAAAATTATTGTTGGAATGTAGGCTTGTTGAAAATGTTATATTTATAATTCTGTTGATAACAATAATCTGTTGTTAAATGATATGAAAAACAAGTTACAATTAATTTGAGCTGCGTAATCATCATCTCCATTAAGGCTGCCATTGACGATGTTATTTATAGACATTCAGACATTCCTTTGCCACGTGCTTGTGTAATCATAGTACACATGTACCTAATCAGACACTTGGTTGGAAAAAAAATAATTGAGCAATTTTATAATGAAATACAATGAATCAACATTTATTTGGGGTTTTAAATAAGGCTGTGAAAATTCATTTCAACATTAACACCCCACTATACCACTGTATACTATATGTCCCAATCGAAGCCAATGTTGTGAACATGTGCACTTGTCACTTGATCTCAACATCCCTCCGGGCAAATAAATTGTCTACCAACTCCTAAGCATTGTTTTTACAGTTAGAGCACTGATTACTTACTGCCTTTATTAATGGCTTTGATCGTTTTCTTTGTTAAAATTCGGGGGTCGATTTTTCGCCTTTGTATGGACTTGTGTTGATACGACACATTAAAAAGTTAAACGCTTGTTAAATGTAATTTTACTTAAATTATCTTATATATATAGGCCTCTTGTTAAATTATTTAAGAGTTTAAAAAGGAAATATGAAGTCTGTTAAAACTTAAGTGTTATAATTACTCGTGCTCTGTAGAAAATAAGATATCTGCGAAGATTATCTTGACGTATAAAGACATGATTTATACAGTGTCGATCTGTTCAAGCTAAAATTCGACAGTATTTCGTGCTTTGTTGAAAAAAAATTATTTCTGCAAGGATAAAGACAATGTCTAATGTCACGATTGCCGTTAGCTAAAATGAAAAATGCAATAATATTTCGTGCTTTCTTGAATAAAATCATTACCACACCAAGATTTAAACAGCAACGTTGAAGTGCAAGATTTATATATTTAGCCTGATACAGTGTATAAATTTAATGGGACGGCATTTTGTGCTTTTTAAAAATTAATTAAATTATACCGCGATTTTTAAAGACATTTCTGTTAGCTTAAAATATGATTTATAATGCAAAATTTAATTATTTCTATGAATAATACGGCCATGCTTAAAATCTGGAGTACCGTAAGCTCAAAAAACAAAGTCTGCGTATGAAAAGTTACCGTGCTTAAATTTCCAGTACATTATTTCCACAAAGATTTTAAGTTAAAATTACCCAGATGTAAAAAAAGACAACAGTACTGCTTGGTCAATTTTTTGACAGTGTATAATCCAACCGAACTGCGTTTTTTCCCAAATTTTCAAGCCAAAAAAGGGGGGTGCGTATATTACACCAATGCATTTTATATTCAGCCACATAGCATAGTACCTCAGAAAACTTCCATATAAGTTTAAGCTTTTCTGGCCCAGTGGTTCTTGAGAAGATGATTTTTAATGACATCACTCTATTTTTGTTGTTTCTTGATTATCTCCCCCTGAAAAAGGGTTTGGCCCTTCATTTTAACAATTTAAAATCTCCTTCACCTAGGGATGTTTTGTACCAACTATTGTTGAAATTGGCCCAATGATTCATGAGAAGAATTTGAAAATGTGAAAAGTTTACAGATGGACAAACAGCTAGACAGACAGACAGATGGATGCCAGACATCGGGTGATCCGAAAAGCTCACTTGAGCTTTCAGCACAGGTGAGCTCAAAAAACTTGTTTTATTATTGTAATATAAACTCAGTTATTGATTTTAAAAAATATTGATTAAATTGTGTTTGATTTTTGTAAACAGATTAATTTTTCTTGTTTTTGATTTAATAATAGAATAATTTTATTAAAGAGGTTCGTTTCCTGAGCTATTTGTTTTAGTTCTTACAATAAATTTGGATTCTACAATGCTAATTAAACTATGTTCAATTAAAACCCCACGATTAAATTCCATACCGAAAGCATTAAGTAAGGAACTATATTTTGTGGTGGAAGCTTTTTTTTTTTAAGAAGAAAATGATCATTTTTTCTCTTTCTAAGTATTTACAGAATTGCTAAGTTTGGATTTGTTTTTTTTACATGCAGCCTGCACACAGAGTTATTTTGTGCAGTGAAATGTTTTATGCTGGTCCTAATTATATATTAACTAGAGCAGAGCTCATTGCAAAGCAACGAGTAGGACTTCTGTTGGAGCTGTAGATAGGATGAAGTGACCTTGATGTGAGTGTGAATAGTTTACAGAGGGACGGGCGGACAGATAGATGGACAACAGGTGATCAGACAAGCTCACTTGAGCTTTCAGCTCAGGTGAGCTAAAAATTTCTATCTTTTTGAGATTTTTGCAAATTGTGGAGTTTTTATATAAAGTGTACATTATTATTAGATGAAATATCAAAGAAAATTTTGTTATAATTGAGATTCAATTTTTCACCTACATGTTTGTCGCACTGTAGGCATTTGGCTCGCCTTGTTCACCCATCTTCTTTGTTATATTTTTTGATGTACATATATACATAAAGATGTTTTGAAATTTTTACTTGCTATCTTAATACACATCTTCAAAAAAAAAAAATGACAGGAACAGAGTATGTCTTTCTCTAACATTTCAGCAAATGTTTTCTGGAATTTGCCCATGTATGACCATACAGCATCAAAAAGTGGAGAGGGGACAAGCAGCATCCAAATCAAAATATACATATAAATACAATGGACACTTGCCTATTGTGTAAGGTATTTAATACATACAGATATGTTTTTGTCACTTGCCTAGTGCTACAATTCAGTACACACAAACTTAGGTATACAACGTGGCTATTTGCCACTTGTCACTAATTACAATAAGTCACCCTGGTTCTCTGTGATTCTTTGTTCACTTTGATAAAGTATCAAACAACATCCAGTCTCTTGTCAACCATGACTCTTCTACCAGTGACACTAACTTAGATCACCACAGTGTAAACATACTGTGTACAATTACAACTTTTGCTTAATATATAAATAATCTTTTAATATGTCAATCTTTTATACTGCTTTCCAGGCAAGAATCTGACTTTGAGCATACTTTGCTCATTTAAACCAAAGATTCATCTTTATTTTGTTTCTATATATATATTATACAATATATATTATATTCTTTCTTGTATTCTCATTCAATCAAATAACCTGTTAATTAAATTATACACAAGGATCTCTTGATTAACAATATTTAGCAAGGGGGTTTAACTCTCATTTGCTTCACATCACAATTGTGTACGCTGCCTCATAGATACCCATAAGCAAAGAAAAGGAACATTTACTTAAAATTATATTTAATACATTTACATTGATATTATTGAATTTAGTTTGTTTGCTTAGTATTCAGGGGCAGAGGAGAAGTTTTTCAAAGCATTAATGCATTTTGCTAATTAATCAATTGAACCCCACCAAAGCGCAAGAACCCCTGACCCAGGGACCACGAAATTCACAATTTTTGAAGAGACACCCTTGCTCATCATAACTATGTATTTAGCTTGTTTAAATGAATTAATACCAAGGGGCAGAGAAGATTTTCAAAGCATTAATTTATTTTCAGTATATAATAGATGGAACCCCTGACCCAGGGGCCATGAAATTCACAATTTTGGAAGAGGCACTCTTGCTTATAATAACTATGTACTTAGTTCATCAGCTCAATACCCAGGAGCAGAGAAGGTTTTCAAAGCATTAATTTATTTTCAGAATACAATAAATAAGCCCCCCCCCCCACACACACACATGGAAAAACTGACCCAGGGGCCATGAAATTCACAATTTTGGAAGAGGCATGGCACTCTTGCTCATCATAACTATGTATTTAATTCATCAGCTTAATACCCAGGAGCAGAGGAGAAGATTTTCAAAGAATTAATGCATTTTCACCATATAATAATTAGAGCCCCGTCCTAACACCTGAACCCCTGACCCAGGGGCCATGAAATTCACAATTTTGGAAGAGGCACTCTTGCTCATCATAACTACATGTATGTACTTAGTTCATCAGCTAAATACCTAGGAGCAGAGGAGAAAATTTTTAAAGAATTCATGCATTTTCACTATATAATCATTAGAGCGCAGCCCTAGTGCCAGAACCCTGAACCTGGGGCCATGAAATTCACAATTTTGGTAGAGGGCTCAATGCTTATTACAATCATGCCAACAGTTTGACTGCTTGATGTCCAGGAGTAAAGAAGAAGATTTTGAAGATTGCATTAATTTTGATGGTTTTAGCCCCATCCCTCAGGCCCCAGGGGGGCAGGATCCATGAATTTCACAATTTTTACTCCCCTTCACCCATAGATGCTAAATGCCAAAATTGGTTGAAATTGGTTCAGTGGTTCCAGAGAAGAAGCTAAAAATGTTCAAAAGTTTACGACCGATTGACGACGAAAGACGACAGACAAAAACAGATAGCAATAGGTCACCTGAGTGACTCAGGTGACCTAAAAAGGAAACTTTTTGGATCAATTACGTAACTTTTATACATTAAACAAACAATTTTGTCAAGGAACTTTGACTTTTGATACATGAGAATAAAAACATCATTTATCTCTGTACTACGTCATCAGTTTCAGAGAGGGGTGATATGGATTCAGAAAACCACAGTGTGGTGATCCGGAACGTCGCATCACACCATCACGTGATTGCATAAATTCAACAGTAAAACTGAGTGACAAACAGTTGGGTATATAATATATATAGCATAAAATTTTATGAGATTTTTTTTACATTTGATGAGTACTTGTTTCAACGCCCCTCATTTTCAAAAGAAAACAATAAATATACCTTTTTAGAGTCCCCTTTTCCTTCTTCTACAGTTCTATACTGGCCATCAATATACTCTAGAGTAAGACGTCCTTTTTTGCTTTTCTTGCCTGGATCTGTTATTGGTTGTTTATACACATTGACCTATAATGAATTCATCAAATACTGTAAACCGGGTATTTTCTGCGGTTGGAAATTTTTGCGATTTAACCCCTAAAAGATAGCAAACTAATTTCTGCGTTTTCAATTTCTGTGGTTGCATTATACCGCAAAAAATTATTTACTGGGTATGATCACCAAACTTTAAGAATTATCAGATAGCTGCTATGTTTTCGTTTTATAAATTCATTGAGACATATTGATCAAAGGTGCATGAGAACTGGTATTAAGCTAATAAGTTTAATTAAACTGCTATCTTTTAGTTACTCCTAGTAAAATTATGTCAAGTCCCAATTGAAATGAATTATTGCAGTATCAGTCCACTCATACAACAATAAAAAAAAATCTTAATTCTACATTTTAACGAACGCTTTATGCAATCTATTAAAATATTTAAATATATAGATAATTAATGCATCCAAGCCATATTCTACAGTTCTTAAAACACATTTATAGTTAATTACCATCAAAATTAACCTGGTGTTTATATTTTAAGCTTAAACTAACAGTAGCATAATCAAGTAACCTAAAGTTGACCGTATACAATCACAGGTGCCATGTGCATTGAGGTGTAACTAATCCGGTCAGTCGTTTGCATTGTGTGAAATTCACAAGACAATCAAGCCACATTGTGTATACAAACAGTAATTTATGGTCTCAAGATAAAACACAAGATTGAAAAAAGTGTTAAAGAAAGAAAGAAAAGCTACATGTACTATGTGTTGTTTGCAGCTATCGGAGTTTGGATTAATAATTGCGAAATCTCTTTTAGTCTTTTACATGTACATGTATATCCGCATAAAATAAATAGGTACAAGAAAAGAACCTTGCGTCCCAAATATTTTTGCTGCGTCCAGTACGCAGGTTCTTGCGTTAATGAGAATCCTGTGACACACGCACCACTTATCACACTTGCATGTATAAAATATATATCTGAGAAATATTAAAAATATTTTGCGATTGTAATTTTTGCGGATTTGTCCTATCCGCAAAATTCCGCAAAAATTGGACAACCGCAGAAAATACCCATTATACGGTATATGCATCAGTTCAGATAATTAAATGTAGCATATTGCAATGATAAATCTGGATCACATATTTGTATTGTAAACAGGGTATTTACCTGGTACTACACTGACAGGGTTGTTCATTTTAATTTTCGATGTCAATACAATTTCAAGAGGTTAATTTTTCTCCAGATTGGAGAAGACCAACAATTTGTCCTTACTAGGTGAACATACTTTCTACACTTTTAATTAAAAGCACTGTAAAAACAAGAAGTCTCTGGTGAGAGTTTAGCTGTATGAATACTTCAATATTTCTAAATAATTAATATATACAGTGAAACTTGTCTAATCTGTTTGTTGTGTATTCTGAAATCTTGACTTATACAATTGTTAACTTCAGTAAATTCAATTGTTGAAAATGTCGTCTAATCTGAAATGCTGTCTACTCTGGCCAATTTCTATGGATTCCGAACTAGTTGTGTACAGATTACACAAGTTTTACTGTATAATTATGCATTTTTCTAGCACAACCCATGTATATATTGTATGTTATGCCCATTTGGCTTGGACTTGACAATAAATTCTCTTACAGAACAAGAATGGAAATAAAATCTAAACCAAGCACATATGGAGAAAGCAACCCTGGGGGTTAATTAGGGGGAAGAAATATATCTATTTAGTCACTCTTCTCCTCAAGAAGACTCACTATATAGCCATCATCCATCCAAGTCTGGTCTAAATAGGGCTTGAAGTTATAGTACAATGAGTCTGCTCTGAAAACTTTAACTGGTAACTCATCTAGAAAATGTAGGTCAAATCCAGCATCTGAAGTAACTCTGGTAGTGTGCATTCCTTGATGCATCATCCATGCAAGTTTGGTCAGGTAGGTTATTTTCTGGTCACTCTTCTGGAAAATGTAGATAAAATCTTCAATCTCAAGCAATTTGGTGGTGCGCATCCTTAAATATATCTTCAGTGTAAAGTTGGATAGCATAGGGCTTATAGTCACTTTAGAATGAACCTGCTACAAAAACCTTTACCTGGTCTTTCATCTAGGACCAGCATCCAAAGCAAGTCTAGTAGTTTGCATCTTTAGATGTATCATCCATGCAAGTTTGGTAAACATAGGGCTAATAGTTACTTTAGAATGAATCTGCTCCAAAAACTTTAATCTGATCACTTATCCAGAAAATGTACGTCAGATCCAGCATCCGAAGCAATTCCAGTAGTTAGCATCCTTAGATGTATCACAAAGGCAAGTTTAATAGTTACATAACAATAAAAAGCTTTCTTTGGTTGTCAGTATGAGTATTAATGTTGCAGCTGTTGCAGAAAAATGTGTGAGTGGGTTATGTAATTTTTTTTTCTGCAATAGCTGCAATGTTAATTCCCATACTAACAAAAAAAGAAAAACATTTTATTTTTTATATTTATATTTGTACATTTTATTGTTTATATTTATATTTGTACATTTTATTGTTTATATTTATATTTGTACAAATAATCATATAAAGTAGGATTAAGTAGTTTAAATATTGTATTATTGATGTGTACACCATTGTACATTTCATTGGAAAAGCCACTGCTCAAGAAATCTGTTTAGGTGATATGCTTAGTGGATAAAAATATTTTATCTAAATGACTAAATACACTTGCTTGATTTTTTTGTTTGATTTTTTTCTCCCTTGCTAATAGGTAAGTTTTAGATGACATTAGGTATAAAATTAATTTCAGCCAGCTTAAATAGAAGCACCTCTTTTCCATTGATGAGTGCATAACTGCATTTAAAAGCACATTTCTGAGTATCACGATCCATCTTCTGTAGAAGTGCTCCACCACTACCAAACACCACATTTTCAGCACTCCAGCCCTGGTTTTTCATATGTTTCAAGATGCCAGATAATGATTCATAACTTATTCCATCTCCTTGTATGATCCTCAAGTATGGTGGTAACAACTTGTATCCTTTGGAATTTGTGATAGTACCAAATTTGTTACCAAGAATGTTTAATACCTGAAAATACAAAACCAAATCATATAACAAATCAGTAAAACAAGAGGCCAATAAACAACAATGCTTACCTGAGTTAACTTTTCCTTTCTGACAAATACATACTAGATCATGAGACAGTAATACCCGCACTAAGGTGTTTGCCTCTAAATGCACACTCCTACCAAGGAAAAAGCCAAAATAATTCTATAATTTACACAGTACATGTATTTGTCAAATCGAGCATAAAATGCTCAGGTGACCATGTGACCTATGAGCCTCTTATAGGTATTTCCTTCACTTAATTCATTACCAGTCTGAAATAACAGAATTTAATTAATGATGTAAATTAGGTTTTGATAAAAGGGGGGATATAAATTTTTGGCCCATAATTGAACTTTTTAAATTTATTTTCTCAACAACAAATAATGTTATTTTAGTACAAAGCATTTTTAATGAATTTATCAAAATGTGCAAACTTTTTTTTAGTATTTAATTACACAAAAACCCTCTTGAAAAGCCATACTCAATCAATTTTGTCACCCCCCCCCCCCCCCTACACACACAATTTTCCTGTTTTTGGAAATAGGCCTGTTTTTGGAAATAGGCCTAGATGGCAAAGTTATGTTAAAAACATCGTTATGATAATTTAAAATTTGTTCTTGTACTGTACATGTATGTGAACACCTTTTTGAAAAATTTCTTCATCACATTGGGCTTGCGTCACCCTACTAGTACTAGTTTTACCATTATCATTTTTAGATTGCACATGCATTCGGCAAACCTTGGCTGATTCCGTCACCTTCATCAAACGTTAGAACGTTAGATAAGGTACGAATCGGCCGAGGTGTGCCAAGTGATTGCACATGGTGCAGTGTGGTGAAAACATCATTACGTGTATATCAGTAGGAATTATTAATTCATTTTGTGTTTTAATTGGATTATATTTCATGAAGTTAACAGGACCTATGACATTCGGTAAGTACAAATTTAAGTATAGATTGGGGTAAAATAAACCGAAATGCAAATGGTTAGGTTAAAGTTTAATAAGGATCAAAGATCATCGGATGCCACAGTAGATGAATTTCACATGAAGAGTTATCTCCCGTTGTCAACATTACATTCAATTACATGCACAGATCCAGGAATTTTTTCGGGGGAGGGGGGGGGGGGCCCACACCTCAGTCAAAAAAATTTCCAGCCCAGAATTTCCTGTGAAGCAAAAAAAAAAAAAAACAAAACAAACAAACAAAAAACGAAAACCAACAAATAAAAACAATGATGGTGGGGTCCGTTTTTTATAGGGGGGAGGGCGTCCAATCATTTTTTAATTTGCTTCTGTAAATCAGTATAATCATAGTCCTATTTAAATAACTATGCAAATTCCAGAGGGGGGGGGGGGCAATCTCCCTAGCGGCTCCCTGTCCCTGAAATGACAAATGGTCATGTGACTCCAAAAAAGTAGAAAACTTTTCCATTTGACTATGCATAATTTTGTTTCTTGTGTTATTATGTTATGTATATCTAATGGTTTAAGGTTATGAACCCCTGGAGGTCATCCCCACTCTCTTAATGAACTGAAAATGTTCACAATATGACTACATCAAATTAAATAAAAGTGCATCAATGATAAGATTGCTTGACATTTCATTCATGAATTTGGGTCAACCCATGTACCCTCCTAGAATTAGGAATGAAAATCATTCAAAGAGATGGACCATTAAACTATTTGTATATATTCACATTTTTATGTCAAAAACAAAGGATTAGTTTGCATACATGAACAAACAGGGGTCTGGGAAGGGGAAGGGGCGAGGGGAAGGAGTTATCTCTTTATGTCTTAATTGTTGAAAACTCCTAAATTGAATGTTAACCTCTAATCTGACTTGTACGTCTTCATTATTTTTAAGTGGTGGTGTCTCCATATGAATGAAAAATTCCCGAGAGGGGCATTCAACAACAAACAAACAAACGACTTAAAAAACACAATATACATGTACATGTTTATTAGTCAACAGATATACTTCTGGTCATATCTCTAGTTCTCCCTTGAATCAGAAATGATGATATAAATATTTTAAGAATGATTAAGAGTTGAAAAGGTTGTGCATCTTAAAATTGACTTAACCTAAGCTCTGTGGTTAAATTAGCTATACCACTTTAGCTTATTTTGCTACTCAAAGCACCTTAACATGCTTAAAGATTAATTATTTTTAATCATACTGTTTTTCTAAAATGTGCAGTTTTTTCAACATGGATACAAGTCATACGTTTTCAGTTTCTTAAAACAATGCATGAAAAAAAAAACTGCTTTTCAAATACTGTAACTCTTTTTAAGTACTTGTGATAGTAAGTTTTTAGCTCACTTGAGTTTTTCTGGTTTTCTGATTACATTTTGTCTGTCATCCATCTGTCCGTCTGTAAACTTTTCACATTTCTGTCTTCTTCACTAGAACCACCAATTTTAACCAACCTTGCCACAAAGCATCTTCGGGTAAAGAGGATTCAAGATTGTTCAAATGAAGGGTCACACCCTCTTTCAAGGGGAGATAATCAAGAATTAGTGAAAATTTGGTGGTATCATTTAAAAAAGTCTTATCAAGAACCACTGACTGGGCCCAAAAAGTTGAAACTTTCTTTTACATAGACTTAGTGTAGATTCAAATTTGTTCAAATTATAACCCACTGGGGTAGGGTGGGGCCACATATGGGGATCCAAAGATTTACATAGAAAAATGCAGGGAATTTTTTCCATCATAAATCTTCTCAAGAACAGCAAGGGCGCTATTGTCCCCCATTTTCGAGAAAGGGACCTAGGGAACATTGAATCTCATTTGTCTCTCGGTCTGTCTGTTTGTCAGTCTGTCCATCTGTCACAATAAATTTAACCTTGGTCATAACTTTTGAATAGTAAGAGATAGGGCTTTCATATTTCAAATGTACATAACCTACAAGAACTTTCTAAATATACAATGATCTTTGAACCCATGACCATGACCTTGAAGTTTGACCTACTTTTCAAAAAAATTAACATTATTTTAAATTGATCATTTTAAAAGAGAAAAGATAGGGCGTTCATATTATACATGTATATTACCTGTGACAAGACCTTTCTAAATATATCATGACTTTTGACTCTGTGACATTGACCTTGAAGTTTAACCTACTTTTCAAAAATGTTATATTTCCTTATAACTTTTGATTGAGAAGAGATAGGACTTTCATATTTGACATGTACATTACCTGTAACAAGATGTTTCCGAGCATGCTATGATTTTTTACCCCTTGACCTTGATGTTTTACCTAATTTTCGAAAATTTTAACTTTGCAGATTACTTTTGAATGACATATGATAGGGCGTGCATATTTGAAACAATATGCCAGAAATAATGGCATCCCATCCACTAAGACACGGAAAGTAGGGGACCCAATTCAATGAATTTGCTTGTTAGTCATTTTGATATGGAAACATTCTCATATAGTGTAGATTAAAGTTTTTTTATGCCCCTCCATGAATATGGCCGAGGCATATAGTGTTTGTCATATCCGTCTTACATCCTTCCATCCTTCTGTCTGTCCTTCCGTCTGTCCTTCTGTCATGCTTTGCTTTTAGCTCAGTTCAAAGCTCAGTTTCAAAGAAATCATCCAAGATATTTTTATCAAACTTCATATGCTGATAGATATTGATATGAGCTATGCAACTGCATCAACATTTTTTAACCTTGACCTTTCCTTTGACCTTGACTTCACTTTTCTTAAACTAGTGTTTAGCTCAGTTTTAAAGATAACATTAAAGATAGTGGAATCAAACTTCATATGTTGATGCATACTGATGTAAGCTATTCAACTGCATCAACATTTTTGACCTTGACTTTTCCTTTGACCTTGACTTCACATTTCTTTAAATTAGTGTTTAGCTTATTTTTAATGAAATCATTCAAATTACTGTAATAAAACTTCATATGCTGATATATACTGATGTAAGCTTTTTCAACTGCATGAACCTTTTTGACCTTGACCTTTCCTTTGACCTTGACCTCATTTTTCTTAAATTAGTGTCTAGATCAGTTTTGAATAAACAATTCAAGATATATTTATCAAACTTCATATGCTGATACATACTGCTGAGAGCTATGATTATCATCTACTTTTTTGACCTTGACTTTTCCTTTGACCTTGACTTCACTTTTTTAAATTATTGTTTATCTACGTTTTAAATAAACCATTTATGATATTTTTATCAAACTTCATATGCTAATAGTTAATACATACTGATGTTAGCTTTTCAACTGCTTCAACATTTTGACCTCAACCTTTCCTTTGACCATGACCTCTCTTTTCTTAAATAAGTGTTAAGCTCAGTTTTAAATAATCATTCAAGATATTTTTATCAAACCTAATATGCTGATATGTATTAGTGAGAGCTATTCAACTGCATCAAAAACTTTTCATCTTGCACTTTCCTGTGACCTTGACCTCCCTTCTCTTTAATTTGTCTTTTTCTTAGTATTAAAGAAACAATTTAAGATATTTTTATGTAAGCATGCACTTATACATAATTTGGTGAGAATTTATCATCTATATCCAATTGTTTTTGATTTTAGTTTCAATTTTAAAGAAACTGTTCAAGATATTCTCATCAAACTTCATACACTCATACAAATTTTCATGTTGCATTAGTAATAAACATTCAGCTGGGCATTCATGTCCTATGGACATATTTCTAGTTTTCAATTCATGACCTCCAAGGGTAGGGTCAGGCCACAAGAAGTTTTATATAGGAATAAAAGGGGAAAAAATCTTCAAAATTCTTCTTTTCAAGAACAACAAGAGCATGATTAATATGGAAACATTCTCAAGAAGTGTAGATTCAAGTTTGTACACATCATGACCTATGGGTTAGGGAGGGGCCATTTTTTTTCCTGCCCCTATTTGCTATCCACATGGAAATGCAAATTTTGAAACATCCACAGGACAAAACCAATCATCTTCCTAATGGTCATGATTTAAGGCTAATGCATAAA